AATATATTATAGAATGTGTTAACTAGTTTGGCTAGTAAAAACTCATTTATTCATCATAAGATCGTGTGATCAAGATCAACTTTCACCCATCATCTTTTATAAAAAAAAATATAGTAAAATCATTTTGTTTATTAATATGATATGGAAATATGCTTCACACCCTAAAATAGATAGTGCCTTGAAAAAAGACTCGATGCAACCCAAGTTTTCTTGGTACGAAGTTCAAGTGGAAGAACCAACAGCCACCGACCAAGTGAGCCCGAGCCAAATCAGTCTATTCATGGTTCGGACTCAGACTTGTCTTGTGCACCGACGAGGCATCCATCCTATGTCGAGTCTCTCACTATAATCATCATCTCTTTGTTCTTTCCTCCTCGCTGTTTCGTTTCCAGGTTTACCGATGCTTTTGGCTTTGCATATATATATATATATATATGATAATGGCTATCTTCCTAATTAATCTCTCTTTTGTGTAGAGATGAAGATGTGAAGATCTTTGCTGAAGATTCTCACCGGCAAGATCATCACGGTTGATATGGAAAGCTCTGACACCATCGATAACCTCAAGGCCGAGATCCAAAACGTGGAAGGCATCCCTACCGACCAACAGCGACTCATCTTCTCCGGCAAGCAGCTCGAGGACGGCCGCACTCTCGCCGACTACAGGATCCAGAAGGAGTCCACGCACTTTCTGGTCCTTCGACTCCGCGGCGGCATGTAGATCTTTGTGAAGATGCTGACGGGGAGAACCATGACGATCGAGGTGGAGAATTCCGACACGGTTGCCGATTCGAAGGCCAAGATTCACCACAAGGATCATGTTAGCCACCCGGACCATTTCAGACTCGTCTACCGTGTGAAACAGCTCGAGGATGGCAAGACGACCGCCCTACCCTCCACCTCCTCCTCCTCCTCCTCCTCCGTGGCGGCACGCCGAACCAGTGCAACTGATGACTACTTGTTCTCCTTCTATACCAGTAGTTTTAGGGTTTCCAGAAGTCTTGGACTATTATGATGATTGACTGCTACCAAATTATATTTAGCTTAATCTTCTTGATTCGAAGTGCTCCTTATCGAGATTAGCGTTGTCTTATTCCACCAGAACTACTTAATTCTGGCATCTTAGTTTGATGCGACTGATGAGTAGAAAAGATAAGAAATCAAGAACAAGATACTTCAACAAAGCATTTGCAGCCATGCATACTTACATTAGAATTCACCTATATTTCTTTTGGAGATTTGTTTGCTTACATTAGATAGAGCTTGAAGGTTAGCAGAGTGGCGCACAGATTGCCATGCATGGCTTGAATGCTTCGGATGAATGCACAGATATCATCGTTAGCAGAGTGGAGAGGGAAAATGATTGGTCAAAAAGATTAGAGAACACCAATCATGTCACTGTCAGTGCCATAAATTGAATCGCGAGGAAGCATTGCACGGATAAAATAATAGAAAGTAATGGAAAATTCAAATGGCGAAGGGCCCTCGTTCCAACGTGGGGAGGTGGACAAAGCAAAGTAGGCAAAAGTCGGAGAGATCTCTCTCGGAGGACGATGGGACAACCCCATGTAGAGAGAGAACGATGTTTGGGAACAATCATTCGCGGTTGATGCCTCAATAATCTAAAGCTACACACAATCGCAAGTGTTTGAGTTTGCGTTTAGATTTGATGCGCGTAAAGGGTCTTCAATCCTCTAAGGTATGTCGTGGGAAGTAAGTACATAGGTCAGTAGTACATAACCCAAGAGATGCCACCAAGATCTAAGCAGCAACTTTAGCCAAAGGGAAAAGGCCTCTACCACAGTTTTTACTGAGCTTAAGACCACCGTGACGGATGCGCAGGATGTTGAGTTGTAGTAGGTTCGATGATTACGATCTGTATTAGGGGAAGCATGAGTGGACATCTTGAGGACACAGTGCTGGAACGAGCAGCTACATGATTAGACGTCGGAATCATGAAGGCCAAAAGACTAAGCTAAAAGGCATTCCATAGAAGAAGATGAGTACTGGAAATTCTCATAGGATGTGGCATATATGACATGCGGCATCAACTGCGAAGCTTAATCTATCATGCATCGTTACAGTGGTGGAAGAAGCCATGCAGCCTTTTTCCCCGGCATCATCATGGTCTTCATCATCTCCACCAGCAGTAGCTGCTGCTACGCTTGTTTCCGGCTCTTATGTGAGTGGCAGTGGTTTTCTCAACAACGGTTTACATGCCCGGCTGGGCTGCAAAGCAGATTCTGATGTAAAAGATGTTCATCTTCGTACGTTGACGACCCAAAGTAAGACATCAGGAGACACACAAATAAATGAAGGGGGAGTCGTGGAACTGTGAGTCATGTAGTGCTTTGGGAACACACATGTAGTGTTTGATCATGCTAATTCTGGTCGGTGAATCTTTTCCTTTCCCACTTGCTTTTTTCCTTCCAAGACAGATGATGGACCGACCACCACCTGACTCCTCGTCGGTGGCTTCTTCACCTAAGACTTTTCCGTA